GAGACAGTTCGTAGCCGAACGACACACAGTGAGGTGGGGATGCAGAAAAAGGCCATAGAGAGAGTGGAGGAGGTAGAAGGCTGGGTCCATGCAGCAGCTATAGCGCCCTCCTCTGGGCTGAAGGACAACCCTGCACCACACCGCAAGAACATGAAAGTACAGGATCTTCAGCTGGATGTCCAAAGCAACCCTAAAAATGACGTCTATGGATACATTATTACTGATACAGAGTGAGATATTTACATGTGAAGCTTTCTCTCTCCCTCTTTTTCTTTCTCTCTCAGTTACATTTTATTGGCCAGTTTCTTCACAAAATATTGCCAAAGCATTCAGTCAGTTCTTAAGCAATACTGTACTGGGGACAATTCCCACACAAGGCTATGTTTATTTGATAATAATGTGAAATAGAAAATATAATTACAATTTAAAATAACTGCTTTAGGTTTTAATATATTTTAAAATGTAATTTATTCCTGTGATGGCAAAGCTGAATTTTCAGCATCATTACTCCAGTCTTCAGTGTCACATGATCCTTCAGAATTCATTCTAATGTGCTTAAACATTTATAAGGATTCAGGATTGTTTGATGAATAGAAAGTTAACAAGAATTGCATTTATTTGAAATATTGTTTGCAACATTATACATTTACAGCATTTACAGTACCTTTTGATCAATTGAATACATCCTTGCATAATAAAAGTATTAATTAACACTAAAAAGAATCTTAAAGTCCCCAATATTGTATTATAATTTTGTGCTTTACTCATTATAATTTTTTATTGCATTAAAATCAATAGCTTTTTAAGATCTTAAAAAAAAAAAAACATTTTTCTTTCTCTCTGGATCAGGAATCTTCCCACTGATAAGGGTTTGTATCTGATGGAGATGGTGGCTCTTAAATCGAAGATTCAAATGACGGATTTCTCAGAGCTCTCGTGAGTCATGATTTTTTATTTTGGTTACTTGCACTATAGAATAGGTTTAGAATATAATGGTAAATTTAGAAATTAAGTTGAGTAAAATATATAGTTAGGTTATATTGGAAGGCATATTTAAATCCTAGTAGTAGTTTTATAAACACAGTCAGCATAAAATGAAAATCGACTGTATTTTCCATTTTTCTATGATTTATCCATGTATATGTTTTATCTTTTAAAAATAATTTAATTTGTATATTTTAATTAAAATATCATAACTTGATCTTCTGGTGAAACAACAGGCTTTTCTTTGGTGCCTGACTTCTCCTTTACTTCACTTAAACTCGACCCTTTCTTACAAACAGCTGCAAGCTCACATTCATCAACAACCGATGGACAGAACCAAGTCCCCATCCTACATTTTTTCTTTTTCAGTAATTACATCACAATACAGAAGAAAAGATCTGTTACTACTTCCTTTTCATCATGACTTTTTTTAAAGGTCTGAGAATAATTTAATGGGTGACTGCATAACTTGATCTTCTGGTGAAACAACAGGCTTTTCTTTGGTGCCTGACTTCTCCTTTACTTCACTTAAACTCGACCCTTTCTTACAAACAGCTGCAAGCTCACATTCATCAACAACCGATGGACAGAACCAAGTCCCCATCCTACATTTTTTCTTTTTCAGTAATTACATCACAATACAGAAGAAAAGATCTGTTACTACTTCCTTTTCATCATGACTTTTTTAAAGGTCTGAGAATAATTTAATGGGTGACTTCAGTTTTTAAAAATGCAATTTATTGTATTAATAAGTTTTATGGTGTCATGAAACAGAAGAATGCAACACAGGTAATATCCAAGCAACAGGTTTATTGCAGGTTGGAACAGACAAGCATGGATAGCAGGTGAGTAATGGGAAAATAGATCAATGCAGAGATAGTGTCAGTGGATAACATTGTCTGTTTCAGGTTTGGGATCAATGTTGTTTGTGAGCCGGATCTTGAAGCAGGAGGCGGGCAACTGAAGACTGAAGGAGGTCAGCGTGGATCGCTCAGGTAAGTGCATGCAGGTAGGTAGTCAGGTAAGCGTCCAGGAGTGAACGACGAGACCAGACAATGGTGAACTGTTTCCTCTTATGACCCCCTATTATTCATACCTCCCTTAGCTCCAACATTGTTCCATCATCTTTTCAAATTGCTGCCATAACCTCAATTCTTAAGAAATCTGGTGCAGAGCCAAATAATTTAGATAATTCCATCCAATTTCATATCTTCCTTTTATTTCCAAAATTCTTGAAAAAGTAGTTGCAGCACAGGTCCATGCTCATCTTAGTAATAATAATTTATTCAGTGTTTTCAGTCAGGATTTTGCTCTATGCATGGAAACCGCTCTTGTGAGAGTAACTAATCATTTGTTAATGACTGCTGATGCTGGGTCCTTATCTATTCTTGTTCTGCTTGATTTGAGTGCAGCTTTTGACACCATTTCACACAATATTTTGTTGAACTGTTTATCTGCTATGGGTATGTCTGGTATTCCTCTCGCTTGGTTAAATTGATACCTTTCCAATCACACAGTCTGTACAACTAAAAACAATTTAATTCCCGACCTTTTTCTGTTAGCCTTGGTGTCACCCAAGGTTCTGTCCTAAGTCCTCTATTGTTCCTAATTTATCTTCTCCCACTTGGTAATAACTTTTCTAATTTTATCTTTTCTACTCTGATGATACACAACTTTATGTATCTACAAAGCCTGACTCCATTCTTCCACCTGTCTGTCTTACCAACTGTCTTCACGAAATATAAGTTTGGTTCTCTGCCAATTTTCTTAAAATTCATTTTCTTTAACTTCATTTTTGTTTAACTGTTTATCTGCTATAGCTATCTCTGGTATTCCTCTCGCTTGGTTAACTTGATACCTTTCCAATCACACAGTCCGTACAACTAAAAACAATTTAATTCCCAACCTTTTTCTGTTAGCCTTGGTGTCACCCAAGGTTCTGTATAAGTCCTATATTGTTACTAATTTATCTTCTCCCACTTGGTAATAACTTTTCAAATTTTATCTTTTTCTACTCTGATGATACACAACTTTATGTATCTACAAAGCCTGACTCCATTCTTCCACCTTTTTGTCTTACCAACTGTCTTCACGAAATAAAAGTTTGGTTCTCTGCCAATTTTCTTAAACTTCATTTTCTTTAACTTCATTTTTGTTGAACTGTTTATCTGCTATAGGTATCTCTGGTATTCCTGTCGCTTGGTTAACTTGATACCTTTCCAATCGCACACAGTCTGTACAACTAAAACTAATTTCATTCCCAAGCTGTTTCTGTTAGCTGTGGTGTCACCCAAGGTTCTGTCCTAAGTCCTCTATTGTTCTTAATTTATCTTCTCCCACTTGGTAATATCTTTTCAAATTGTATTTTTTTCTACTCTGATGATACACAACTTTATGTATCTACAAAGCCTGACTCCATTCTTCCACCTGTCTGTCTTACCAACTGTCTTCATGAAATAAAAGTTTGGTTCTCTGCTAATTTTCTTGAACCTAATTTTCTTTAACGTGAGTTCATCTCACCCCACACAGTACTGCAATTCTTGTTCACTCGGTTGTCACTTGTCACCTCTCGCATTGACTACATTAACTCTCTTTTATTTGGTTTACCACACAAGCTTCTCCATAAACTCCAGCTGATTCAGAATTCTGCTGCTCATATCATAACCTGGACTCAGGGCCATCCTTAGGGGGGTGCAACTGGTGGAGCAGTGCTTGAGGGGGCCCCCGTAGCGAACAGAGAGCTTGAAGTAAATCTGCATAGGGTTCTGTTGGAGGATTGCTGACCTTTCTGAAAATGGCTTCTTGTTGTGTGTTGGTCTGGTCTTCTGTCATAAAACAGAAGAATGCAACACAGGTAATATCCAAGCAACAGGTTTATTGCAAGTTGAAACAGACAATCGTGGATAGCAGGTAAGTAATGGGTAAATAGATCAGTGCAGAGGTAGTGTCAGTGGATAACATTCTTATCCGTTTCAGGTTTGTGATCAATGGTGTTTGTGAGCCAGATTTTGAAGCAGGAGGTGGACAACTGAAGTGTGGATTGCTCAGGTAAGTACATGCAGGTAGGTAGTCAGTCAGGTAAGCGTCCAGGAGTGAAAGAAGAAGCCAGACAATGGTGAACTGAAGTGTGCAGGCTTAAGTAGGGTGTGGTTGATGAGCAGTGTCAAGTGCTGGTGATTAGAACTCTGGAGACTGGGAACGAGTGGACAGAGTGTAAGGGTCTGGTACTGTGGATGCTGCTGACTCTGTGACATATGGTTAAAACACTAATATAAGGTATATTTAAAGGCAGGGTATGTGATTTTTCAAAAACACTTTAGAAAACTGATTTGGGCCGAATAGCAAAACAAATTTGTAGCCAATCAGCAATAAGGGGCGTGTCTACTCATGATGTGGAGGAGAGAGCTTTCAGTGAATGGGACGGACATTAGCCAAGCCGAGCGACAGAAAGATAGAGATGGCGGATAAAAAACAAAAGAGGAAAACGTCTGCGGAACAATAAGGCAAGAAGTAGGACCCGTGTAAATATCGGATAGCTTTCCAGTGCTGGAGAGAGCTCAAGGAGCGGAGGCCTGCAATCGGACGCCGAGGTTGCTTTGTTTCTTCTCAATAGGTGAGTAACACCGTGTCTACAACAGCTAAAGTCTGCCTACACTGGACGCGATCAAACGACCGTTGAAAACCATTTGAAATTTGTGTCAGCATGTCATAAATAGAACCCGGCAGCAGTTTTCTGTCAGGGATTTGTTGCGCCGCGCCGCTCACGTCCGTAGACACAGTGTAACATTGGTTTTGCTTTGTTTCACAGAACTAATCGTTGCCTGGGTTGCGTGCGTATATGTGGGGCGGCGCCATCAAAATAGGGCCAAGACCCTTTTGGGGTAGGGGCGTGTTTGTTTTGGTGATTTCAAATATCAACATTGGCTACCAGAAATCGCTTACTCTGCCTTTAATATTTTTTGGATGCTGACATGATTACCCAAAATAATTTGCTGTGTGTTTGTGTATTTGTATAGTGTTGTTAGCCCAGCTGTGACATTTCAGGTCCGTCCAAATCCTCAGAACATCACTACAGTGGATGTGGCTAATATGGCAGGTTAGTTTAGTGAGAGTTAACTATTGCCATGATATATAAAAAAAAATTTTTTTAATGAATGTCTCTGTTCAGATATCCACTAATTCTGATTCTTCTCTTATATCAGTCAGTCGGAAGGATGAATTAGAGAAAGAAGTGAAAGTCAAGATTGTAGAGGCTGGAGTCACTGATGTAAGATTCTTTCCACTTCATTACATTTCATTGTTATCTCTCTCCAAGGTTTGATATTCCCATTTTTAAGTTAATATTCAAATGGAATAAAATACAATTCTGTAATATGAATGTTTAAAATATACAGCATAAAAACTGTTGGTAATCAAATCAATGTAAAAATTTATATTTGATGCACCATTTAGGGTTCCTCAAATCACCACACTGGTGGAACCATATATGGAGAACCCCAAAAATGTTCTTCAAGGATCTTGCAAAATGTATCCCATAAGTCCTGCAAGAAAGCTGAAGATGTCAAATGGTTTACCTAGTAACATCATAAGATTTTGAGGCACTTGAAACATAAATTAAAGCTACCCAAGTTCACAATACGATCTAAGCCACCTTCAAAAGGATGGCTAAAGGTTCTCCACAGGGTTCTGCCACTGTCTGAGGAATAAAGAACAAAATAATAACACATTTTGACTTAGACTGCAACTTCTTCTATATACTGTATATATATATATATATATATACAAAGAAATTAATACTTTTTTGCAGCAAGCATGCAATAAATAGATCAAAAGTGACATTGACAGCAGAAACATTTATAATGTTGTAATGTAAAACTTATTCTTTCTTCTCAGTGCTATTCCAGAGTAGGAGGAGAGTTTAACATATACTACCATTCAAAAGTTTGGGGTCAGTAAGAGTGTTTTTTAAAGATATTAATACTTTTAGGTCAGCGGTTAAAGCATTGTTAGTGTATGGTAGGACATATAAGGAATTTTCCGGATGGTAGTTTAGAATATATATATATATATATATATATATATATATATATATATATATATATATATATATATCACAAACTTCAGAAAATAAATGTACTTTCAAATTTTTTTCACATGAAATAAATGTATTTCAACTTGTCTTTCTCTTTCTTTTAAGAGGAGCAAACTGAATCAGATTCCCACTAAGTACAGTCGCTCTGAGTCTCTGAAGTTTCTGATTCTGACTGTGATTTCCATCATCTGTATAACTGGAGTGTTGCTGGCATCCAGCGTGATCTACTGTCTGCGTCACCGCTCTCATCACAAACTCAAAGAGAAGCTCACCAACCTTGGATCTGACCCTACCACTGACGCCACTGCTACCTACCAGGTACCAAAGAGAGAGTGTGTGTGTGTGTGTGTGTATGTGTGCAGGGCTTTTTGTTTGAGATTATTTGCTTGATTGATATATTGTTTATTTGGATCCCCATTAACTTCCACAAAGCGTTTGCAAATCTTCCTGGGGTCCACAAATCTGTACAAAATAACAAAAATCATACAAGTAATTAAAATAAGAACAAAAATTTAATTACACTAATCGCATCACAAAACTATACCTATGCACCTTAGTAGTAGCAGCACATAACACATACATCTACATATTTATAAGCATATCTTCACATTTTCTTCTAAACACATATGCAGTGATGGGCAGTAACGCATTACTTAGTAACGTGTTACTGTAATTTGATTTACTTTTTTCCATCACTCTCTCTAGGAACTGTGTAGGCAGCGAATGGCAGTAAAACCTCCTGTAGAGAAGTTGGATCCTATTCACTCTTCTGGTATAAATAGTGTGTCATCTCAGCTGAGTGACGGCCCATTGCCAAGCCCCTCTGCACACACTAGCACCTCCTCCTGGTGCGAAGAGCCTGCCCACTCCAACATGGACATCTCTACTGGTCACATGATACTGGTACTTGCATAAACCAACACACGTTAAAGTTTGAAAATGCAACACAGATGCCTTTATGAGATGCCTTATATCTTCACTCACAAAAATTAAAACCTTTTTTATTTCATTGAATGTATCATTATGAAACTCCTAAGTTAAGTTAAGTAAAAAAATGTGTTACAATGTAATTTTAAATCTTGTTTAAATTTCATTAACTTTTTATTTAAAAATCATAACATTTTATTTTTGTAAATATATTATTGTTATTTAAAATTCCATATTTGTAGTAGTTATTAGAGCAAGGAATGACCAATGAAGTTTATTAATGTTTTATGAAAATTAAAATGCACAGATATATTTGGTATGTAAAAAAACAATAGTTTGTTATTGTTTGTTAGTGGTTTATGTCTAATTTAAAAAGTTTATTGTCAGTCTTTTTTTCATGTTTGAAAGAAGTCTCTTATGCACACTAAGGCTGCATTTATTTAATCAAAAATTGCATAAACCAACACACGTTAAAGTTTGAAAATGCAACACAGATGCCTTTATGAGATGCCTTATATCTTCACTCACAAAAATTAAAACCTTTTTTATTTCATTGAATGTATCATTATGAAACTCCTAAGTTAAGTTAAGTAAAAAATGTGTTACAATGTAATTTTAAATCTTGTTTAAATTTCATTAACTTTTTATTTAAAAATCATAACATTTTATTTTTGTAATTTATTTAAAAAATATATTATTGTTATTTAAAATTCCATATTTGTAGTAGTTATTAGAGCAAGGAATGACCAATGAAGTTTATTAATGTTTTATGAAAATTAAAATGCACAGATATATTTGGTATGTAAAAAAACAATAGTTTGTTATTGTTTGTTAGTGGTTTATGTCTAATTTAAAAAGTTTATTGTCAGTCTTTTTTTCATGTTTGAAAGAAGTCTCTTATGCACACTAAGGCTGCATTTATTTAATCAAAAAACAGTGAAAGCATTAAATATTGTGTAATATAATTACAATAGTCATATAATTACAATAGCATCAAATATTGTGTAATATAATTACAATTACAACTTGGCTTAAATAAATTATATAATTTCTTTAAAAAAACATATTGACCCGAAACTATTTACATGATAGTGTAAGTTTCCATTTCATTGGGGACCACTGAATTATCTTTAACCACTGGATAATTGTACAATACTCACAAAAACATCCTGTATGTTTCTCTATATACACACATAGGCATATATGGAGGACCACCTGAAAAATAAGAATCGTTTGGAGTCGGAGTGGGAGGCTCTGTGTGCATACCAGGCTGAGCCCAGTGCCACCACCATCGGCCAGAGAGACGGCAACGTCAAGAAAAACCGTGCAAGCACAGTCATAGCCTGTGAGTCACACACACAAACATATCCACTTTCAGGTGCTTTGTTTATTCATGTACTGTAACCAGTAGTGTATTATTGAACTTCTGTGATGTAATTGAGCTTTTCAGGTTTGACAATAAAATGTGTGTTTGTTTGTTTGTTTTTTATTTAGATGATCATTGCAGAATAACTCTGAAGTTGGAGAACAATCAAGGCAACTCGGACTACATCAATGCCAGCCCAATCGTGAGCCAAAACTACATACAATACTTCAGCAAAAAGCAAAAAACTATAGCTCAAACGGCACACTACATATGTGACCCTGGACCACAAAACCAGTCATAAGGATCCATTTTTTGAAAGCTGAATAAATAAGCTTTCCATTGACGTATGGTTTGTTAGGATAGGACAATATTTGGCCGAGATACAGCTATTTGAAAATCTGGAATCTGAGGGTGCAAAAAAATCTAAATACTGAGAAAATCACCTTTAAAGTTGTCCAAATGAAGTTCTTAGCAATGCATATTACTAATCAAAAATTATGTTTTGGTATATTTACGGTAGGAAATTTACAAAAAATCTTCATGGAACATGATCTTTACTTAATATCCTAATGATTTTTGGCATAAAAGAAAAATCGATAATTAAGTGTGTGTGTGGTTCAGGGTCAGTATATGTAATGCAGAGGGGGTTGATTGTGTTGTTTTCTTACTCTTAGATGGATCATGACCCTCGTAATCCTGCATACATCGCCACTCAGGGCCCGCTGCCCTCCACCGTAGCTGACTTCTGGCAGGTAAACTGCATTATTTGTTTGTAAGCTTACATAGATGGTTTGGGCAATCTTGTAGATCGTGTTGGGGAGTGTGTTCGTGTGTGATCTCTAACACAAGGTCTGGGAGAGTCTGTGTGTGTGCAGATGGTCACGAAGAGTGCATGGGGATGTGTCTGTGTAATGTGTGTGTTCTCGTGCAGATGGTCATGCTGTGTGTGTATAATGTTGTGTGTGTTCTCTTGCAGATGGTCTGGGAGAGCGGGTGTGTGGTGATTGTCATGTTGACTCCTCTCACTGAGAACGGTGTGAAGCAGTGTTACCACTATTGGCCCGATGAAGGCTCCAACCTCTACCACATTTATGAGGTACTGTACATGCAAATATCCTCCTCGCAGAGTGAGGATAACTGCTTGTGGGATTTTGTTCTGCTGTTTTGGTGTTAGGTTGTAAATACTGACAAAAGAATTAGCTTATACAAAGAGTTTTCTGTCATATTTGGGCACATTGGTTCAGCTCTGCTGATAGGATTTCATTACATCAGCCAGCATTTGACATGATACAGCAAAGTTTTAACTACTTTTGAACTTTAAAACTCCACATTGAATTAAAAAAAAAAAATTAGTTATTGTTCATCTGTATCGGTCATGTGACTTTTGGAGCTCATACACCATATTTATAAGCATCAGCAGGGCAAAGTAATGGCAGTGAATACAAAATCACATGAAAAGAGATTGAATTTGATCCAATCAGGTGCCAGAAAAGGCACTTTTTATTGATCTCCAGTTAGCACAGACCCTACCAAATGTTATACTTGTGGACATTTCTAAATGTTTATTCCACAATCCATTTCATTATACTCATGCTATAAACAGAGATGGATTGTGCATTAAATATACACAGTGTAAATGTCTGCAAATGATACATTTGTCTGCACAGATCCTGACTTGCTAAAAATGTCTGTAGAAATGTTTTCTGGGACTTGGTATGGATTAAATCCAGTGATTTGTGTGTGTGTGTGGGGGGGGGGCTGATCATGTATTTATGTATTCACTTCTATTACTTTGCTCTGTGGTCTGGGAGAGTGGGTGTGTGGTGATTGTCATGTTGACTCCTCTCACTGAGAACGGTGTGAAGCAGTGTTATCACTACTGGCCCGATGAAGGCTCCAACCTCTACCACATTTATGAGGTACCACACAAATACACTCTTTGCAGAGTGAGGATGACTGTGGCATTTTGTTCTGCTGTTTTGTGAATATTGACAAAAGAGTTAGCTTAGACAAAGTGTTTTCTGTCATATTTGGACATGGTACAGCAATTCCATTCCATTTTAACTACTTTTGAACTGAATAAACTGGATAAAAAACAATATATTATTTATCGTAAATCTGTATCAGTCATGTGACTTTTGCAACTTATTTATGACCATCAGCTGGGCATAGTAATGGCAGTGAATACAAAATCACTTGAAAATAAATTGAATTTGATCCAATCAGGTGCCAGAAAACATTTTTATTGATCTCCAGTTAGCACGGACCCTCCCAAATGCAATAATTGTGGACATTTATAAATTTATTCCACAATCCATCTCAATATACTGGCACTATAAACAGATGGATTGTGGATTAAATTTACACACTATAAATGTCTGCAAAGGATAAATATGTCAGCACAGATCCTAACTTGCTAAAAATGTCAGTAGAAATGTTTTCTGGGATGGATCAAATCCAGCTTCTTATTTTTTTTTTGGTATCTCTGATCATGTGCTTATGTAATAGCTGCTATTGCTTTGCCCTGCTAATGATCATAACTATGGCAAATGAAACATAATTTGACTCAAATGGATATATAAGTAAAGAATATATTAAAATAATCAACAAGTAAAACATGTAAATAACATTATTGCATTAATAATAGATAGAAAAAGCTAAATTATAGAGTTTAGGGTTATTGTCTTAAATGCAAAGCCACTGGTAATCTCACTAAATTGTACAGTTCTTGTCAAGCCATTTCATATTGTAAAATGTTTTTTTTTGCCATACTGTATATGCACAGTCTGTGTTCTTTATAGAGGCTTAATGTTTTATATTGCTTGCTTTTAAATTTTCAGGTTGTAAAGAATTTAAAATACAAAATGTTATTGTTCACCAAAAAAAATTATAATTTGATCATCATTTACTCACACTTAAGTTGTTTCAGAACTGTAGGAATTTCTTTCTTTTTTGAAACACAAAGGAAGATATTTTGAGAAAATGCCTCATTTTAATTTTTGTGTGGAGTTTCCTTTTAAAGTGCAAATTCAGAAAACTATAATGGGGCAGACACAAAACAGTGACAAACATTTTGGGTTTGGCTTTCTGTATTTTTTATTCAGCCCTCTCTGTAAATAGGAAGATTTGCACTTCTGTGTCATGCTGTTTGGTATATAAACTCTTTTTTTTCTCTCATATGTAGGTTAATCTGGTTTCTGAGCATGTGTGGTGTGATGATTTCCTGGTTCGGAGTTTTTACCTGAAGAACATGCAGACTAACGAGACCCGTACGGTCACGCAGTTCCACTATCACACCTGGCTGAACGACCAAACGCCCGAAACCAGCCAAACTCTGCTTGACTTCCGCAGGTACGCCTATGAAAGCATGAGCGTGTGCATGTGTTGCCTGTGTGTTGTGCAAGCGCGTGTGTGTGTCAGCTCCTGAGCGGTTGCCAGTGTCATTTTTGTGGTCGTGCAGCTAGTTCACTGGCTCCAGTTGCATAGTCACAAAAGTGATCATTGACAACTGCGACTCTGCATCCAGGTGCACCCTGGGATTCCAGCCCCTCCCTCTATCTCTCTTCACCCTAAATCTGTTCAACCTTTCTGTCTGCTAACATCTGACCTTGTTCCTGGCCCTGCCCTCTTTTAATGCTCATCTGAATAAACCCAGCAGCAGTGTTTATAAGCATAAACCAGTAACATGTCTGAAGCTAATATGACTGTATGTTCGTGTGGGTCAGGTTTTGTCTATATTGTGCTGACCAAACAGCTTAGTAAATAGAAGTGTTTAATAAATTAATTAATAGAATAATGAATAATGTTTGAATGAAAATCTAAAAATGCAGAGAGGTGTGCATTAGGGTTAGGTTCAGGGGTTGGGGATGGGGATGGAAAATATTTTTAGCTTAGTATAAATTCAGTAGAAGACAATGGAAAGCCCTCAACATGACAGAAAAACAAACAACATGTGAGATTTGTCCTATGTAATTAATCTTCTTTAATCCCTAAATCCTCAAATGTTGGTGTTTTTATAATCATTTTGATGTCAAACCTTCTTTTAATGCCTTAGTGAGCATAAGCGTCTTTTTTTTAAATATGAAAACTTCTTACTGACCCCAAACTTTTGAACAGTAGTGTATTTCATTTCTTATTAATGTACTTTTTTATTACATAAAAGATACTCAGCACTTCATCCTTTTCTATAGAGCTTAGCTGCATCTAAAATCAATTTTCAGGTTTCATATGTCTGTGTGTATGTGTGTGTGTGTCTGTGTTTATGATTGTATGTATGACTTCTTTCCAATAGGAAAGTAAACAAATGCTACCGTGGAAGATCCTGCCCTGTCATTGTTCACTGCAGGCAAGTACAAACACACACTTGAATAATGTGATATTTGATATATAGTTTTTAGTTTTTGACATTTATCCTGTAATATTACTTCCAGTTAGAGAAGCCACAAAACAGCCTCTGCTGTCAACTATATAAAAATATTTTATGAAGTAAAATACAGTAAATAAATCATGTATTCAACACAAATGTTCACTAAATGAACAAAAGCAAGAAGGATGTTAAATAATTTTCATATTTGTGTAACAATGCAAAATAATAATAAGCAATATTTACCAATGTGTTTTACTAAAATGTTTAAAAAAATAAAAATAAAAATGCCAGCAAAAGCCGTTTTCTGTTGCCATGAAATGTTGGAAACACTCACAAGTGAAAAGCCCTGAACACAACCATAAACTCAATTTTCAATTTTAATTTAAAACTCAACACAAATGATCAGATGTTCCTCCTTCAAAGTGCAAAAATTTAAATCAGCAGGCCATAATCAGGACACTTTTGGCTTAGTAAACATGGTTTTAAGAGTACAATAGCAAAAAAAAGCACCTACTCGCCAACGCTGTGTTTGCAGCAGTAGTGTCATGTGGTGGCCGCAACTACCAAAAGACAGATGGTTGGAAGAAAACATGTTTGGCTGTTTTCCCTGCCCATGGTGTCATGATGAGACGCAGAACAAGTTGTTACAGTTTGAGTAAAGGGTAAAAAAAGACAATGTTTATTAAAGGAACAGTTCACCCAAAAATTAAAATTTGCTGAAAATGTACTCGCACTCAGGCCATCAAAGATTTAGATGAGTTTGTTTCTTCATCAGAACAGATTTTGAGAGATTTACCATTACATCACTTTCTCACCAATGGATCCTCTGCAGTGAATGGGTGCCGTCAGAATAAGAGTCCAAAAAGCCGATAAAAACATCACAATAATCCACAAGTTATCCACACCACTCCAGCCTATCAATTAATGTCTTGCGTAATGCTGCGTTTTTGTAATAAATCCATCATTAAGGTGTCCATAATCCGTAATATTGCTTTTTCCAGTGAAAATGTAATCTTGCCTGAATCAGGAGTGAAATATGCACCAGTGGAAACTGTCCAAAACAGTTCTAAACAAATAGGTCGGTTGATTTTGATGTGACGACAGGGTATGGAGTTTTTCACTAGAGGAAGTGCTATTAAGGATTATGGATTGGTATAGACTGGACTGGTATTTTAAAGTTAAAAGGCTGTAATGATGGATTTGTTTCTTACAAACACGCAGCTTTTCACTTCAAAAGACTGATGGACTGGAGTTGGGTGGATTACTTCTGGATTATTGTGATGTTTTTATCAGCTGTTTAAACTCTCATTCTGACGGCACCCATTCACTGCAGAGGATCCATTGGTGAGCAAGTGATGTAATGCTAAATCTCTCCAAATCTGTGCCCATGAAGAAACAAACTCATCATCTACATGGCCTGAGGGTGAGTAAGTCTGTAATTTGTCTCTTTTTTAAATTTAATTATTTCTACTTTTTTAAAATCTTGCTTTTTTTCCATCAGTGACGGTGCTGGACGGACTGGGACGTACATTTTGATTGACATGGTGTTGAATAAAATGGCCAAAGGTAAAGACAAAAAGCTGATTATCAGATATCAATGGGTGTTCAGTAATATTTTTCACATTGTGGACAGTCAGTATAAATATTGATACAAAATGCTTTGCTTGACAGGTGCAAAAGAGATTGATATTGCTGCTACACTGGAACACCTGAGAGACCAGAGACCCGGCATGGTTCAGACCAAGGTATGTACACACACATACCCACAAATACACCGAAACACACAATCTCTTTTCATGCTGACACATGCTGTGTCTGTGTCTTTCTCAGGATCAGTTTGCGTTTGCACTGACGACTGTAGCTGAAGAGGTGAACGCTATTCTCAAAGTCCTGCCACAGTGATACTTCCTTTCTTCCTACCTTTCGCTTTCTCCCTCTCGGTTGTATATAAACTGAACCCATTTCTGAGAAGATATATGTCCTATAGAAACTATTTTGTCTGTAAATGATTGGACTATATTTAATAGTAATTAGGAATTGGTATTGATTTAGTTCCGTGTAATTATAAAAGCAAATTCATTTTATTTTTCTCCGTGTCATTGTTCCAGATTTTAATTACTCTCTCATCATTGCTATTTATTTTGCATATCGCACAGAAAACTGGCCAGATCTGTTCTAAATATATAGTTAATTGGACCTTAATTTATTAAACCAATCTGTATGTGCTTCGTTATTTAAGATTTAGAATTGTGTTCTATAGGTTGTGCCAACTACTGTTTATCTGATCATTAGAGACTCGTACAAAGCCAAAACATCTTGCATGGAGACAATTGCTGCCTTTCCAAGCCAAGGAAACGCTCACTAAATCATGATGTTTACCTTGACTTGAACCTTTATTATAAGACTAAAACTCTTGGGAAGTACTACCACTTCCATTTGATGTTAAAATGTAATCTGTGCACACAAAAAGTGTGGATAGCAAGTAGAAATGCATGCAAGACTTGTGCAGCTGGCTTTATGAACTCACAGCAAATTTCTGCATAGAAAATGTAAACAAATAAAGACTAAATTGTTAGTGTGATTCTGGCAAATTACAAATACAGTGTCTGATCTCCATGCTGTTATCAAGAAGTTTCATGAGTAAAAGGAGGTTTTCAGATCAATAAACATCCACAAGAGCAATAAACATTCACTCACTTTAATAAGAAGCATCAAAGCAAATAAGGGAATGAGGTTCTGCATATCCTGATGCTCTATGTGGGTATCAATTCATCTCTTAATACAGATATTAATGTGGCCTGACCCCAAAAGCACCCCCCTACCAAGTATTGAGTACATGTACAGTAAATGAACATACTTTCCAGAAGGCCAACAATTCACTAAAAATGTTTTTTTTATTGGTCTTATGAAGTATTCTAATTTGTTGAGATAGTGAATTGGTGGGTTTTTGTTAAATGTGAGCCAAAATCATCACAATTAAAAGAACCAAAGACTTAAACTACTTCAGTCTGTGTGCACTGAATTTATTTAATACACGAGTTTCACAATTTGAGTTGAATTACTGAAATAAATGAACTTTTCCATGATATTCTAATTTATTGAGATGCACCTGTATATTACATCATGTGTGTTTTATGCAGCAGTTTTCTGGTTAAGTCTAGATGGGATACAGCCACGGCCAGATTGTCCTACTGGACATGGGCACATCAATATTGTGTCATTTTTGTCATGCTGATGCTGAACAATTAATTACTGTATTTGCATTATTGTAAGGTTAGGTTTAGGCAGTGTTGGGCAGTAACGCATTACTTAGTAACGCGTTACTGTAATTTGATTACTACTTTTTTTAGTAACGGAGTAATTTAACGCGTCGTAATTTTCAAAATAGTAATTCGAGTATAGTTACAAGCTGTCTATACGTTACTGCCGCCTTACATTGCTGACGGAATGCAGTGTTTTATAATCTAGAGATTGTAAAAAGGATGTAGCTCACGCACTGTCGAGTCAAGCGCCAGTGGATTAGAGACCTGCTCCCGCGAGACCCGATGCAGCTCAGTGCGGCGCGGGACAAGATGAGCGAGTGCTGCTGCGGGCGGGTAGACACTTGTGTGTGTGCGGGATGCGGGAGAATAAAATGATTCACGGGACTCCCGCAAAATAGAAATATCTAAACATAACTTATCTAAAACAAATAAATGATTATTCATCTATTGCACAAAAGCAACATGAACTAATATAAAATATAAACGATTAACAGGTGCAGAGTTTCTATTTAGGTTATAACACGTGTTTGCAGCGTTGAGCAATGCAGTGCTGGAATGTGCGTGCTCACGAATCCTCTCATTATAACACACAAATTGTAGACATTATGAAAGATTCATTATGCATATATTTATT